ACCTTGTTTGTTGTCAAAACCCAGGGCTTTTTTTGTAGCAGGAACTCCTTTGCATGTTAGGCCACACACCCCTAATGTAGCCAATCCTAATGCGTTTCTGCTGTTGGGTGTGGCCTATTATGCTAATGAGATCCTGCTGGGCGTGGGCAACTCGGGAGCCAGCCGGAACTCCGTTCCTGTGCGTTCCTGCCCAAAAATAGCCCTGGTTGTGAGAATAAAAAGGAAGCGGGAAGAACGAAGTGCACTGGGTCCCTATTAGGGAGAAAGAGAAAAACGTGCCATTGAGACACAACCAGCTCATGACAACCCATCCACGGGGTGTTGCAGGAAAGAGGTGGTTTGCCATTGCCTTCCTTTGCATAGCAACCCCAGTCTTCCTTTGTGGTCTCCCACCCATGTACTGAAGGAGGCTGACCCTGCTTAGCTCTCAAGCTCTGACAAATTCTGGCTAAGCTGGGCTATGGGGAGAAAAGCAGTGTATAAATATCTAAATACAATTAGCCCAAAAGACGTCTGGCTGTCCTCAACAAGCCCAAAAGACGCCTTTTCAGCCCTGGCTCCTAACTGGTGGGACTCTCTGCCGAATAACATTCACAGCCTGTGGGACCTAATGCAGTTCCACAGGGCCTGCAAGATAGAGATGTTCCACCAGGCTTTTGGCTGAGGACAGAGGCGGGTTCCATCCTATCTGGCACTCCCTTCCCGCCCTCTTCCTCTCTGCCTAGGCTTGCCAAGTCCCCCCGGGGAAACCCCACCCCAGAGGCCCATTCCCCGCCGCTGGCGGATCGGGCCCCAGGGGGAACCCCACCCCCAAAGCACGGGACGTGCCCGGCGTCAGCACATCATCTGGAAGTGACACAGCCATGTCGGGCGCACCGGGGGCGGGGCCACGGTCATCCGAGGGAAAACTATGTTTTTCCCTCGGATGACTGCAGCCCTGCAGCTGTTTTTTACCCTAACTGGTGGGACTCTCTGCCGAATAACATTCACAGCCTGCGGGACTAGGGTTGCCAGCCTCCAGGTGGGGCCTGGGGATCTCCCGCTTTTACAACTGGTCTCCAGCTGACAGAGATCAGCTCCCCTGGAGAAAATGGATGCGTTGAAGGGGCGACTCTATGGCACTGTACCAGGTTGAGGCCCCTCCCCTCCCCAAACCCCACCCTCTCCTGGCTCCACCCCCAAAGTCTCCAGGTATTTTCCAAACCAGATTTGGCAACCCTATGCGGGACCTA